TTCCTGGCCCAATATGGCTGCTTGAGCTCCAGCCATCACACCCTCATTGTGGCCATTCAGGAGGAGAAGGGGAGGGAGGGCATGTTACTTCTCTTTCAGGATTGTCTCCCAAAGCTGCAAGGAATGTGTCCTTTTGCACACTGGCCACAGGGTGTAGTGACAGTCCGTGTCATTGTAAAGGGTCCTGGAAAGTGTAGTCTTGCTCCTGGCTGTGTTCCCGCTGATAGGTAGTGTGGTTCTGCTACTAGGGGGGGAGAGGAGAACAACTACCAGGCACAGCTAGCAGGCTCTGCCGGATGCCAGGGTTTCAGATCTTCCAGGTAGAAAAACCCCTGCCCTCATAGAGTGCCCGCTGGAAAGGGACCGACTTCCGGCCACTCCCCGAGTGGCACCTTTGGCAAACCCGAGGCAGCAGCCAGGCTGCGCAGGGCCGCTTCCTAAGCTAGCGCGTGGGTCACACAGGCGGCCTTCGTTAGCTCTGCCAGCTCTCCTGAGGTCCTTCTCCCGGAGCCCGGGGTCCCTTCCAGCCCTTCCTGTGCCTGAGGCGCGGTCAGGCCGCGCGCTCCCGGGAGGGGACGCTGTGCAGCGGCGGTGGGCCACCGGCTCAGCCCTCGCCACGACGTGGCCTGGCGCTCCCGGGGCTGGGGGCAGGGCGGGCACCGCAGGGAACAAAGGAGCATTCCTGAGCCTGAGCCGCGCGGCTCCAGGCCGACTCCCTGGAGTCTTGGGGAGGCTTGTCTTGAATGCCTGGCTTTTTGTTTGAGAAAGAAAAGTGTTTTCCAAAGTCCCCGGGCTTCCTCTTGCACAGAAGTCACACGCTCCGAGGAGCCACAGAGTGGGGTGGGGGGACGGGCAGTGAGGACGCCCTGTCGCAGGGGACAGCGAGAAGGTGCAACGGGAGGGAAAGTCTGGGGCACAGGTGAAAGGGAAGACACCCCGCCTCAGCCCTCCATGGCGCTGGGAGAGGGACGCTGGCGCCTGCCTGGAACCCCTCGAGGAGCAGGCGGCGGGCCGGCCGGGTGCCGTGCAGCAAACACGGCAGCTCAGACACGGCTGGGGCGCAAGGGGGACCTGGGCTGAGATGGGGACTCAGAGCAGGGCATCAGAGGGGACAGACCAGGCCCCAGAAGGGGTCTGTGTGTCTCACCCAAGCCAAGAGACTAGACCCCGAGTTCCAGACGCCCTGGTCACCCCTGAAGTGGAGCTGCTGAGGGCAGAGGCTGGCGGTCCTGGTGAGACCAATGACCCCTCTACGAGGCGGGGTGAGGGGACCGTGTGTGAGCGCCCTGTCCCTGCTAGGGGATGAGCGGCTTAACAGGATATATGCAGTTTCTTTAAAGAGGACATGTTTTGGGCAAGTCTGGGCAGTGCTGAGTACATTCAGACCCTCCTCTGGGTCTGCCCCAGGAGCCCAGGTCCCACCTGAAGCCCCAGGCGTGGGGCTGAGCGGGGAGTGATGGCGCAGACAGAGCTGGAGCCCAGGGAGAGGCCACAGCACGCAGGGCCGGAGGAGGGTCGCGGACAGGCCCCCTCAGCACATCCAGCTCCACATCCTGGGAGCAGGGTGGCAGGGCCGGGCGGGGCTGGCTGGAAAACTGTCATGGCCCTCTGGGGGAAAGAGAGGGAGAGAGAGGGACAGTGCATGGGTGGGCCCACAGGAGAGGCCGGGCCCACATGGCTTTGCTTGGCAGCGGCAAGGAGGCAGGGGGGGCCGGCTCTGTGCTTTCAACAAGCCCCCAGCTGACTCATTCGTGGTCAGTGTTGTCTGCCTTTGTGGGCAGGTGTGGGGCGCGGCCTGGCTCCCGGATTCAGCCGGATACTCACAGCAGCCTTCCCATTTCTTTCTTTCTTTTTTTTTCTTTTTCTTTTTTTTTTGATATAGAGTCTCGCTCTGTCACCCAGGCTCCCAGGCTCCCAGGCTCCCAGGCTGGAGTGCAGTGGTGAGATCTTGACCTACTGCAACCTCTGCCTCCTGGGTTCAAGTGATTCTTCTGCCTCAAATTCTCCAGTAGCTGGGATTACAGGCGCCCGCCGTCTCTCCCGGCTACTTTTTGTATTTTTAGTAGAGACAGAGTTTTGCCATGTTGGCCAGGTTGGTCTTGAAATCCTGGCCTCAGGTGACCCGTCAGCCTCGGCCTCCCAAAGCATTGAGACTATAGGTATGAGCCACCGTGTCCAGCCCAGCCTTCCCATTTCACAGAGAAGAAAACGGAGGCACAGGCTTAAACAGCAGCCAGCGGTCCACTTGGAACCCAGCCCTGCTCTAACAAAGCGACTCCTGTAGGCTTCTCTGCTGCGGCTGCAGCTGCAGGTCATGGGAGCCAGACCCAGGCTCTCCCCTGAGCTGAGGCCCTCCTAGGAAGATGTCCTCATGTCATGAATACGGCGTGTGTCTCCCGAGTCATCTTAGTGTGGAAGCTCCCCAAGTCCAGGTGTACACTCCCGGAAGAGGACTTGGGGTTCCCACCTTTGTGAGGGTGGCCTGAGGATGGGCTCCTCTCTGTGCCACAATGAAGGGGACGAGGGGCCCCAAGCCAGGCACCTGGGAGACCATGCCTAGGTCGGGGTAGTGGGGGCCTGGGTGGCCTGAGGAAGAGAACACAGCGCTGTGTGCAGAGGTGCCCTCAACTGGCAGGTGTGAGGACCAGTGCTGGCCTGATGGCGCTGGCATGGAGCCCAAGGGTAGCAGTGGGGAGCAGGCCCAGCAGGCCCATCCAGAGGCAGCTGGCCATGGCTGCAGCTTCAGGTGTGAAGATTGAACAGCGGGGCGGGAGGGATTGGGCAAGTGGTGCTGGCCACGAGGTTGGGTGGTGGAGGGGCTGCCTTTGTCCAAGCCCAGAGGCCCGGGAGCAAGGACAGATGTGGGTTTCCCTGCAGGATAGAAGGGGGCAGGGGACCTCAGAGGACTGGGTGAGCTGAATGCTCACAGCGGGGACTCTGGGCTAGCAGACAGGAAGTGGGGATGAGGCCTGGGTAGGGGCCAGACCAGAGCCTCCTGGGTCTTTGGCTCAGGTGGACTTTATTTCTTTACATATTTTTTGAGACAGAGTCTCATTCTGTCACCAGTCTGGAGTGCAGTGGCACGATCTTGGCTCACTGCAACCTCCACCTCCAGGTTCAAGTGATTCTCTTGCCTCAGCCTCCCAAGTAGCTGGGACTACAGGTGCGTGCCACCATGCCCAGCTAATTTTTTATATTTTTGGTAGAGACGGGGTTTCGCCATGTTGGCCAGGCTGGTCTTGAACTCCTGATTGCAAGTGATCTGCCCGCCTCGGCCTCCCAAAATGTTGGGATTTCAGGTGTGAGCCACCGCACCCAGCCGCAGGTGGAGTTTAATAAAATGGCCTTCAGCCAGGCGCCATGGCTCATGCCTGAAGTCCCAGCACTTTGGGAGGCCGAGGTGAGCGGATCAAGAGGTTGGGAGTTAGAGACCAGCCTGGCCAACAAGGTGAAACCCTGTCTCTACTAAAAATATAAAAATCAGCCAGGCGTGGTGGCACGTGCCTGTAGTCCCAGCTACTTGAGAGGCTGAGGCAGGAGAATCGCTTGAACCCGGGAGGCAGAGGTCGCAGTGAACTGAGATCGTGCCACTGCACTCCAGCCTGGGTGACAGAATGAGACTCCATCTCAAAATAAACAAATTAAATAAATAAATAAAAGTGGCCTTCAACTTTAAACAGAAGCAGGAAGAGGAGAACCCCCGTTTTGGGAGAGGTATTTTCAGGTCTGATTTCACCTTTGATCATGACAGTGGCCCTACAGAGCCCAGTGGTGCTATCAGAAAGTGGAGGAAGTTTTCATCACAGCTTCCCAGAGAGAGGCCAGGCTGAGGGCTGGTCCACACCCCAAACAAAGCTCCGCATGAAGTGTCTGGGAAGCACCCGGGAGTTCCTCTTGGAGTCTGACCTCTGCTCCTCCCTTCCGCAGACTGTACCTGGGCACAAGCAGGTGTTGGCTGGAGTCTGAGACTGGGGTTTTAAAAGGGCAGCTACGTTCTGTCTCCTGCCCTACTTGTGCCGTGACCCTCCCAGAAACACCCCAGTGACCTTTGTCACTGGGATGGTGGCGGGTACGAGCTGGCAGGTGACTAATATGGCTGGCTTGCCTCAGGGGCCCAGTGGGGAGGCTGCCGGGAGGCTGGACTTCCCTGGTCCAGGGAGCTGAGCCACAGCTCCCCTAGGCTGATGGAAGGTGCCTTGCCCAAGGACCTTCCTGCCCAGTTTCAGCAAATCTGACCACTAGGAAACTGACATCTGCAGACCTTTTAAGACAGCTGGCCTGTATGAGTCAAATACATCAATTCTAAGAAAGATGGAAAAAAGGAGGGGTGGCTGGCACTCTCCTCCATTCAGGGAGACAGGAGAGGCACCTGGAGGGCCGTGTGGTCCTGGGGCTATGAAATGCTCTGAAGATGTCTCTGGGACAACTGGAAGGTCCGGATACTGGAAAATATTGCTGTATCACTGCTATTCAATCTGGGGGCCTGGAGAACCGGGTTGAGTTTTGTGGGAGAACGTCCTTAGGAGACACGAGCTGATAGATTTAGGAATGTGATATTCTGATGATCACAACCTACTTTCAGATGTTTCAGAAAAGTGTGTGCATGTATGAGAAAATGTGGGCACAGGGTAAGAGAAGGTGACAAATTTCGGCTAAGAGTATGTGAGTGTCCATGAACTATTCCTCCACCCTCTTTGTCATCTGAAATCTTTCGAAATTTCAAAAGACAGGGAGGGAAGAGGTTAATGAGGATGTAACTGAATGGCGCCAGCCTCCCTCTCAACTGGTGTCATCTTCCCCAATGCTGTCATTAATGATTAATAAGTGGTTCCTCTTTCTGGTGATGACAAAGTCCCATTTTTTCTTTCAGAACGCATTACTTAATGTAACTTTGCTCACTGAGCCACCTGCACCTGTGCGAAGCACCCCACCCTTGGGCCTCCGTGTGAGACCCCACTGGCAGGGGCAGCTGTGCCCAGAGACCACAGCACACCTGCCACTCCTTGTCAGGGTTTATTTCATCGGCTAACATTCATTCTTGACCTAGACAAAAACAATTAGATGATTATGACTTGCTTTTCCATCATTAACTTGTTTTTTTGTATGAATAACCAAAAAATTTTCTTCTCAACACTTTGTTTTTTTAAAGAAGAAGCTATAAATAAATAAAGCTTTAAACGATCCTGGGTTCAAGTTAAACAGTTCCAGTTCCCGAAAAGTTCACAGCCTTGTGTAGGAAGTTCTGCTGTTCCTGGCTTCCCCCTCCAGGGGACGTTTGCAGGTCTGGGGGTCCTGGTGACTACACTGTTAGCTCCGCTGCCTGCCTGCTTCCATCCCCCAGGTGGACAGAGTCCTTACAATGTAGGAGATGCTGCAGGCAAAGGAACTGTTGACCCAAAGCAGGTGGTCTGAATGGGAAGTGCCAGGCTGGACCACTCGGGGGCTAAGGGCACTGCCAGCTGCCGCCGCCTCTGAACCCTCCGCCTGGTGCTGGCTTAAGAGGAGACTGCTTTCTAAGTGCAGCAAAGAGACTGAGGAGAGACCCGTGCTTCTGTGAGTTGGGACGCGGGGCATAAGTTAACACATATTCCAATATGTACAAAACAGAACCTACGCTCGAGCCCGCGTGCCCAGGAAGGCCATGGTGGAGGGGTCACCTTAAGCCAGGCCTCTGGCTGGGTGTGTACCTCCTGCTGGGAGGCCATGGTGCCCCACGTGGCTTGTGCAAGACCCCCATGCTCCCCTGAACACGTTCTTCCTGCTCCCAGTAGCGCACCCCGCCCCAGTGTTGTGTCCAAGCAGATTCCCAGTGACCCTGACCTCCCTTTGAAAGAACCACACCACTAAATTCCCTTGTGGCACCCACTTCCTTACTGTGACACTCCTACCAGGGAGGTGGTCCTGCACTGTGCCATCCACCCTGTGCTGTTGACCACCCTGTCCTTGCTCCCCAAAGTAAAATGGGGCCAGGGGCCTGCATGCCAGACCTCAGCGGCAGCAACCTCATCTGACCACACTTTCCTGTACTGAGGAAGGCGCTTGTGCCCATGCCCATGGTGACCCACCCACATCTCCACCCTATGGCGGGGCAGTTGCAGTGGCTGAGTGAAAGCGGGGGCAGGAGAGAGGACCACTGCGAGTCCCAGCCAGTTGGCCTGCAGAGCCCACCGCCCTGCCTCTGAGTCAGCCTACAGCCTGAGCACACCAATCTGCTATCTGGGGGACCCAGGGCACCTGGGTGGGCCCTCCTACAGACTCCAGCCTGGCTTCCTAGGGCACAAGGGATGGGACAGGGCACAGGGCAGGCGCTTACAACAGATATGCAACATGGCTTTTAGGAGGGCAATCGCAGCCGGTGGGGAAACCTGTGGTGCTGCTGGAACAGAGCATGGCCAGCCTTTTGCAAGGGGGTGGGGAGGGCTGAGTATCTGGTGACAGGGAAGCCACCTATAGCTGTTTTGCCAAGGCTAGTTGAGAATGTGAAGGCTCGAGTCCCCGTTCCCGGCCATCAATTGTGGCCCGAGGGGATGGCTCCTGGGCAGGGGCTATGGTCCCAGGCTCCAGCCGATGGAAGCCTGGTGAACTTCATCCACATGCTGGTGGGAGCAGTGGTATTTGAGCTCTCAAGTACATGTCTTGGTGATGGGGCCAGAGCAGCCTGCCAGCAAATCCCAGTGGGTCAGAAAGGAGAACAGACACAGGGGAGCTCTCGGTTCCAGCTCTCCCTGTCTGAGCCAGGTGTGCCTGTGTGGTCACCTCCTAAGCCGGGGACTCAGGCACAAGTGGCAGGATCCCTGGCCAAAGCCTCCCCACTCCTGGGCTGCCAGTCTGCCAACAGGCAGCTGTAATGCTGCCTGAGCCCACTCCCTAAACCCCGCCTTGGTCTGAGGACTGCAGGAAGTAGGTGGGGGCCTGCACGTCAGCTTTGGCCTCCTGACCCAAAGCATGGAGCAGGACTGTGGATTCTGACCATGGACCAGAGAGGGGAGTGGGCTTCCTGGGGGCTGGACTCGAGTGTTCTCTGCCTCAGATGGGGTGGGCCCTGAATTGAGGGAGCTATGGATGAGTGAGCGGGTTGGGGGAGGCTCCCCAGGCCCTGGGGCATTGTGGGCAGCCAGAGGGGGAGGGGCTATGAGATGGCCTGGAGCTGGGGCAGTTGCGGGAAGCTGGTCTCACTCCTAGCGGCCTGGACTGCGGAGCTGAGAGCGAGCGGTGTGCATAGTTGGTGAGGGACACACTCCCAGCCTGGCAGGTCCACTTTCCGCTGTCCTTGTCTCTTGTGCAAACCTTCAGTTTTCGTGATAAATCCAAGGGGGCCAGGAGAGCAGGCACAACCCCTGCTCTGGAGGCCCTGCCCTGCCCTGCCCGTGGCATCCTTGGAGCACGCTTTCCTTGGACCCACTGGGCTGCCCCTGTTGATTCCTCACCCCCGCCCCCGCCCAGCTGCACCATGTCCCTGCTGTTTTTCTTTCAGGATGCAGCTACCTCCGTGGAGCAGGTGTGGGCTGCTCTTCCCGTGACAGTCTTGGGTGGCCCTGTCGTCTGTCCTGTTTTACCCCCCACATCCCCCGAGAGGCCTCCCCATGGCCACCACCGCCACTACCACTTCTCAATGATGTGGCTCATGTAGTCCTCGGTGGGCACGCGGCCTGGCTCCTCGGCGTCCTCCCGCGGCAGCGCCTCCTTGGCCCGGTGCAGCAGGTGCTCCTCACGGCTCCTCAGGCGCTGCTCCCTGCGCTCCAGCTGCCGCTTGTACTGGTAGCGCTGCTGGAAGAGGTCCTTGGCGTAGTCGTACAGCTGCATGTCCAGGTCGTTGAGCTCCTCGATGCGCCGGATGGTGTCCTCGTCCACCTCCACGCCGCCCGCCCGCGTGCTGTTGTACTGCATGAAGGGCCGGATGAACTTGAGGTTGAACGTCCGCTCGAACAGGTACTGCGTCTTGCGCTGGAACTCGGTCAGGCCGAAGAAGGCCATGCCCCGCAGGTTCTTCTTGGCGCTCTCGAGCAGCAGCTGGGCCCGCTTGCCCTCGGGGATGAAGGACAGGTTGTAGCAGCCCACCAGGCTCAGGTCGGCCAGCATGCGCACCTGGCGGTTGTTGGCCAGGTTGTACGGGCAGTCCATGAACTCCTGCAGCGTGCAGCCCGACCAGTCCGTGCCTTCGTAGCAGGGCGGCAGCTCCTCGGGCGTGGGCGTGCGCCCGTCACACATGTGCAGCGACGTCTTCCACGTGGCCCCCCTCTGCACATGCCGCCACTCACTCAGGTAGCGGGACACGGGGTCTCGCAGCAGGGTGATGTAGTAGAACTTCCTGCAAGGAGACGGGAGAGGTGGTGAGGGCTGTGACGCAGCATGAGGGGGCGCCTGGGGCTGCTCTGAGTTAAGGTCCCCACTCAGGAGTTTGGGCTTCACCTCTGATGCTGACCAACCCCTGCATTTGGCTCTCAAAACAGCCGTTTCAAAACCAGCATCAGAGATGCCAAGGAGCATGCTACAGTCATATGGCTACCCAGGGTGACCACCACGTCGCCCTGCAGTGCCTGGCACGGCTCCTCTGGAGGGACAACCTTTCTCCTGCTGGTGGGCGGAGCCGCCAATACTTCATCCAGGGAGGTCCCAGAGCCATGGCTGCCTGAGACCAGCAGTGCTCATGAGCTGATTACAGCATGGGCACAGTGCCACCCAAGGAGCCACTCAGCAGGAGCAGAGGGTGGGCAGGGGCCAGCCAGGGTCACCTCCAGACCCAGGCCACAACCTACCCCAGGGTCCTGCCAAGGCAGAACCCTTGAGGAGCTCCCAGCAAACGTGGTGTAGGGAGGACCCGGCAGGACTGAGCTGCCGACCCCAGGCTCCGACCTCACACGCCCCAAGGCACACCTGGCCCTTCCCAAGCACCCTGCACCCACCGCCTGCCTAGTATCTCCCATCCGAGCTGACGGCAGCAGCTCCTGGGCACTTCGGGGCTCAAGGGCCAGAGGGCAGGACCTTCTCCTTCAGTTAGCAGGTAAGACAAACACCTTAGAATCGAAAATGATCAAGGCCCAGTGAGTGAGGGCCTGGGGCAGCCAGGGCAGGCTTCTGTCTCCTGTGTCGGGCTCACAAGCCCCTGACTGCTCAGAAGAGAGACCATCCACGCCCTTCATAGCTGACCCTGAGTCCAGGGGAGGCACAGGGCCACGTGCACCTCCTCGCCACCCTCCTGTGGGTCCTGATCGAATGGATGGAGACAGGCCAGTGTGGGCTGAACACAGAAAACCACAGTGTGACGTGTCAACCAACAGACAGGCTTGCCCTCCTAGCCACTCTATGACCCTGTGAGTCGGCCATAAGGACTTTGGCCCCAAGAGGGACTCTGAGGGCAAGGATGCACTGTGCATGGTTCGGCAGGCCCCGTCCAGGAAGCACACCCATCTCAACTCCTCTCCCATGTTCAGCACCCTGCATCCACAGGCGGGTCCTTCAGCCCCAGTCCCACACCCACTCAGGGACCATCCCTGCAACCCGAGGCATGCCTCCATCATGAGCTCTCCAGGCACTAAAATGACTCGGCCTTTTTCTTTGTGTGTGAGCCACTTAGAGAAGCCGTGAGCAATTTACTCTTGGGTTTCTGAAAAAGCTGGGAGGGTGAGCTGCTCAAGACGGGCACTCATTTGGAAGCCGTCAAAGTCTGGGTCCCGCAGAGCACTGGAGGCGAGGCTTTCTCCTTTACAGCCCCAGGCCTGGCCTCTCTCCTCTGCCAACGCCTTCTATGCACAGGAGGCCCAGCAGGCACCAACAGGGGCAAGGGGCACTGAGACAGCCGAAACCCTCATGGTCCCTGGAATGATCAGGCCTGTCAGCCTCACCAGTCCTTCCTGCGCCCATGTCCCACATAACCCTTCTGGACCAAGGCCTCCTGCTGCAGGGACAGCTGCTGGGGACCCACACCAGGGAGGCAGGTGTGTGCAAAGACGTGCATGTTCTCATTAGCAGTGCTGGCCCAGTGGCTCTTTTTTTTTTTTTTGAGACGGAGTTTCGCTCTTGTTACCCAGGCTGGGGAGCAATGGTGCGATCTCGGCTCACCGCAACCTCCACCTCCTGGGTTCAGGCAATTCTCCTGCCTCAGCCTCCTGAGTAGCTGGGATTACAGGCACGTGCCACCATGCCCAGCTAATTTTTTGTAGTTTTAGTAGAGACGGGGTTTCACCATGTTGACCAGGATGGTCTCGATCTCTTGACCTTGTGATCCACCCGCCTCGGCCTCCCAAAGTGCTGGGATTACAGGCTTGAGCCACCACGCCTGGCCTAGAATGGCCAATATATATGTATATTTTTTTAATTCGAGGTTTCACCATGTTGACCAGGATGGTCTCGATCTCTTGACCTTGTGATCCACCCGCCTCGGCCTCCCAAAGTGCTGGGATTACAGGCTTGAGCCACCACGCCTGGCCGGCTCTGCATCTTATAACAAAATGGCACAACGGACACGGAGACTGGGGGAGCCTGAGGAGCCGACTGAGGCCCGTGGTCTAAGGTCAAGGGACTTACACCATCTTTTGCACCTTCTACGCTCAGAACATTGGCATGCACTGGGTCCCCTGATTCTGTCCCCTAGACATGGCCTGTGGTAGAGACAAACGGCCAGGTAGACCCTAGAAGCTGCCTGTGAGGCCAGCAGCCAAATGTCGGTGTCCCCGCCCTTTTCTGTAGATGTGACAGCTGAGCCAGGTGGGGTGACCTGCCTTTGGCCACTGTCCTGTTCCTTTCTACCCCTGCCCGGCACACCTCTCCATAGTCAGTGGGCCTCTTCAGGAGCCAGAGGCGACCAGTCCCATGCCCAACATGCAGAGCCCTTCCCTCCCCACTGCCTTGTCCCCTTCACTCTGCTGAACGCAGCAGGCACTGCTGGCCACAGGCCCGTCCTGGTCATCTTCTGCCCTGGTGCCCCAGCTTCGCCTCACCCTGTCCCACCTCCCAAGCCCCATCCTCTTTCCTCCACTGCATGCATTGCCAGACGCATCTGCTGTTTACGTTCCAGTCTGTCATCTGCCAAAAGGTGGGGGGGAAGCGTCAAACAAGCAGGCAGAGGGCGGGGTATGGTGAGGTGCAGAGGACTCCCCAAATGGGCCACTCCAGATCTAGGCAGCTCTCTGACATATGTTCTCTGGAGGTGCCAAGGGGGTGGCTCATGGCTCTGAGGTTTGAAGAATGTTCTGTGCACTCAAGGTTGTTCCCAGCCCCTCCCCTCAGGAGCCCAGGCTCATCTAATCCCTTCCCTGCACTCCCTGCAGGAAGCTGAATGGTCTGTGGTCCACAGCAGTCATCCCTGCACTGACATCTGGGACCCCACAAAGCGGGGGCCTTTGTGTCTGTCACTCTCCAGCAGGGTCTATCCATTCAGGTGCTCCAAGTGCCTGCCAGCAAGGCTCCAGAAAGAGGGGAGTGAGAAAACAGAGGACAAGAGATGATGAGAGAAATAACCAGAATTACAGTACACAATTCACTGAGACTGAAAGGGCTTACCAGGTGCCAAGCAAATGAATGTGTGGACCCAACAGAGGACTAAAAAGTTGACCCTTGAAGCATCTGGACAGAAAAAGCCATAAATAAAGGGCTTGCCTCTCCATCGCCGTATGATAGAAACCAACGGAGCACAGTCGTCAAAAGGCAGAGGGAAAGTGACTAACTCGATTTCATACCCAGCCAAACTATTAATCAAGTGTGGAGGACAGTAGAGACATCTTGAGACATAAAAACACTTAGGAAATTTATCTTCTGTGAATCATATTTTAGGAAGATCCTGGAGTATGCATCTCATTTAGCAAAAAAAAAAAAAAAAAAAAAGAAAATAGAATACTGAACTTGGGAGCCAGGAGCTCCAACCTTGTGGGGGTTCCAGGATGTCAGCAGAACATCCCACGGGGCCTGGCAGGAGCAGGGAGACAGAAGCTCTAGGAAACAAACAGGCAAAGGCCAGGCGTGGTGGCTCACGCCTGTAATCCCAGCACTTTGGGAGGCTGAGGTATGTGGATCACTTGAGGTCAGGAGTTCAAGACCAGCCTGGCAATGTGGCAAAACCTTGTCTCTACTAAAAATACAAAACTAGCCAGGTGTGATCCCAGCTACTTGGGAGGCTGAGGCAGGACAATCACTTGAACTCAGGAGGTGGAAGCTGCAGTGAGCTGAGATTATACCTGGGTGACAGAGCAAGACTTCATTTCAAAAAAAAAAAAGAGGGGGGCATGGATAGATGGCCTGACACAACTAAGTATTTGTTCAGAAAAAAATTAACGGTAGGTGCATGGCAGATTCTGGAATCATTTGTCCCGAATTAGTCCATGAAGACAGAAAATAAAGCAAGTATAAAGACCAGGCAATCATTAATTCCAGGAAAAATAAAAAGCTATATAGAAAAGAAAATGAAGTATATCACTTGACTCAAAGGTAAATGATGGTTTTGAAGGCATCATCGCGTAAACTGTGTCACTGATTTAATAAAAACGTGAGCTTTAACTGTATGTGGGTGATGGGTGGGGTGAGGACAGACTGTGTGAGCATGTAAGAACACTTGACCTTCATCTATCAAAACGAATAACACAGAATATCTAACTCAATACATTAAGAAATAGCACTACACATTATTTAGAAATACGCCAACGTGCGGATCACAAGGGAAAGAGATCGAGACCATCCTGGCCAACATGGTGAAACCCCATCTCTACTAAAGATACAAAAAAAATTAGCTGGGTGTGGTGGCGTGTGCCTGTAGTCCCAGCTACCCAAGAGGCTGACGCAGGAGAATTACTTGAACCCAGGAGGCAGAGGTTGTGGTGAGCTGAGATCGTGCCACTGCACTCCAGCCTGGCGCCTGGTGACACAACAAGATTCTGTCAAAAAAAAAAAAAAAAAAAAAGAAATACGGAGGTAAACACCAGAATACTGAGAAGAGCTGCAAATTGTTTTCTGGAGAGGCTGGAAAGAAAAAGCGGACCTGCTAGTTTTCAACATAAGCTGATCGGAACAATGTTTTTAAGTATGTATATAAATTACTTTAACGAAAAAAATTAACAGTAAAAGAAAACAATGAGGAAACTGGCCAACAAAGCCTATGGAAAGAGGCGCTGCTGCGTCAGTGATGGAGGCCGCGGCACAGGAGCCACGTGCAACACCACAGGAGTGGTGGGAAGACAGCCCGGCGGCGGCTGGGGGGCACGAGTGCAGGGCGGCCCTCCTGCCATCTGCTTAAGGACGTGAACAACACAGTGAGGACAGTCATCTCCACCTGTCTTCACTGGCCACAAGGTACACACACCCCACGATGCGGGGAGTCCT